TAGTGGGGGGTGTAGTGGGGGGGATGGGGTTTGTAGTTATTGCAAAAGGGGGAGGGGTGAGAAGTTATTTTACGTTTATCACAAGGGAGGGCTAGCTTTAATATTTAAGCCCAATTTGGAGAATTTTAGAACCCCCCTCCCGATAATAATTGCACAGTCCCTTAGTAGCCAATTTGCCCTACCAAAGCTTCACTTCTTTGTTTGCAATGTATGAGATAAGACATGGGTAAGATATTCGAGAGGGGCGCTGGACGTGTAAGACCGGAACGTCGCAAGGGGAGGTGGTTGGGTAAATCCGTCGTCCCTCGTTTGCTCTCGCCTGCTGTAAGACGTTTAACTGGGCCAAACTGTAGTTAGCTATTCCTTATATAACCCTCAGAGTCCCAGGGAACTATAGGTGTTTGTCCGGAAGGTTCATACTTTGCGTGCTGTTGATTTGGTGCTCTTTTGTCAGTGAAAATAGTTTACGACTTGTTTTTGCAGTAATGTCTCACCCGCTAAGAAGAGCTGTCGAGATTGGCCAAAACAAACAATAGATTTCAATGTCGACACGTTCTATCGTTTTGTTTATATTGTTTCTCGTTCTGTTATTGTTTTCATGCAATTGTGCGCGTAGATCTTCTTAGAGCTGCAACGTTACCATGTTTTTGTCGTGATATATATATCAAGACAGACAACTAGTAAATGTAATAGTTTCATAAGAGGTTTCGGCCTTCTTCCTCAGATTGATAAAAAAAAAAACTGTAAATCTGCAAAATAGCTCAACATCTTATGAAATCAATTATAGTTACAGTTACTATTTGCCTTATTCATTCAATATGTGAAAGACAGATAGTCGACTACGAATCCTTAAACAAGGGATCCTCATTAGTGAACGTGATTGTTGGCCAATGAAAATTCATTTCTGTGTAAATGGTTCTAGTTATACACCTAAGTCCAAAATGGCGCTCGGCCGAGTGTGTTACATGAAAGCCAGGCATCCAGGGCCAAATGCAAAGACATAATATGGCGTCCATGCAAAGTATACACTTGTTGACTTGTTCTGTCTTCTTTTTCTTCTTATATTCAGGAACGCGACAATTTTGTAGTATCAAATTATAAGAAAATACTGGAAATTTGTAAATTTGGCCCTGGATGCCTCGTTCTCAACAGGCCGTGCGCCATTTTGGATTTAGGCGTATTGTTTGTCGAAAACCTGACTTCGTTTGAAATGGGATTAATATTCATGATCGATTGTTATAAATTTTAGTGAATCAGTTTATGTGTTTTTGATTTTCATTTTTCTTATTTATTTCAGCAATGCTCTCTGTAAAGTAAACTTAATTCCTCAAAACCGACCGTAATCTTATTGCAGTATTAATCAGGGATTTCCTTACTAAAATGTCCCTTAGCGTCCATTAATGGGTATCTTCAAAATCCTATCAAATTCACAGAAGACAACGTATCATAATGGTTGACCGAATGCCTCTAGGTTTTGAAACTCGGTCCAAATTTTACCCCTAAATTATAGCAAAATAGGCAATTTTTTCGAGCAAAGTTCAAAATGTCACTTTGATATGGCAGTTTACTTTTCCATGCTGCTCATTTGATTTCAATTACATGATTATCGTGCTCTTTAAAAAGTTTAAAATATATGTGAAATAATATTTAAAAAATCCAGTTATTTTGAACTTGAAGTTGTCAGGTTCAGATGAAGGAATGCATGGCGTCCGACCACGCAGCCATCGCGTTTGCGGGGTAAAAATCAAATTTTGTTCCCTGACAATCAAGGAATGATACGTGTTCACTCGGTTAAAAAAAAAAGGAATCTAGAGAAGAATTTAGTGGAAAATTAAATTAACTTCTTTTCACAAAAATGTGGCAACTTTTTCAAAAAAGCACAGTGTTTTCTCAGTTTACACAAGATGTAGCCAAGACCTTTATTTACGTCTTTGCTTGTTGGTTTGTTAGTTTATCGCGGCTCTTGGTGGTAAACGAAGAGAAAAAATACCGACGCTCGAAACACAGTCTTAAGAAAATATCCTACTTTCCCGCACGGATTATACAAGGGTAGGCTTACGATTCGTTTAGGTTTTTTTGAAAGCCATGCAATTTTGTGAAGCTATTTACAATTACATTTATCAGTTAGGTCATTCGCTTAATACTGAGCATTTTTTCTAGATCCGATACTAAAGAATATCAGGGAAAACCCTCGACTTATCGATTTACATATCCATCTTTCGATGTGCAATCCACAATAAATATCGGTAAATAAACGTACGCGCGATGAACGATAGTCTGTGATTGGTGAAACTTGTTTGAGACGGAAGCGATATGTAAAAATTCGCTTCATGGGAGGGAGAAAATGTCGCACTTGACAGGGCAATTGTTTGGCATGAATCTGCTCTTATTGATTTTCCAAATACTTTATTTTATGCGTGCAATAAAAAGCATCGTTTTACTTCGGTTAACATACATTTTTCTTGTTCATCCAATTTATCTGATTATTTTATCCGATTTATTTTTGAAGATTTCACACTTTTGTATATTTTGAACATTTACTTGTTATTCTAGTAAAGTTACGCTTTTTAGCGCTGCTGGCGAACTTCTCTGTAAAACGTCATCTTCTTTTTCATCGTCGGTCGCTTCATCCAAAGTCTTTAACTTGCTCATTAATGTATTCACAACAGGTGACTGATTTCTCTTTGTCAGCGTCCTATTTCCTGTATTATCAAGTGCTTTATTCCTTATATCATAAGAGCCCCTTCTAGCTTTACCCGGAGTTGAAATCTGTTTTGGTTGCTGATGACTCATGTTTAACTTTGCTATGACATTGATCGATCCTCGGCGAATCTTCGGAGAGGGAGACCACGACTGAGAACCCCTCCGAGAATCTCCCGAAGACGCCAGTGAAAGTCTTCGGTTCTGACCCGTTGAGATTCCTGCTGTTGCAATAGATCTTCGGCGAAAGGCACTATTTGTATTAAGGATATTATTTGTTGTTCTGGCTACGCTGAATCGACGATTTAGTAACGATCTTGGGTCTAATCCCGAACTGGGGAAAAAATCTAGTGTTTCTGAGAAATCGGAGCTTTCCGATGCTGTATCTTCGCTTGCTTCGGGTTCTACTATCACTGGTTTCGGCTTAATACCAGGACGAAAAGCACCCGAAAGCTGCCCTTCATAGTATTCAAATAACTTCCTCAGATTATCTCTGTGAGTTTTTTGAGATTTTCCTGTGACTGGAGCAGTGTGAGGTCTTGTTTTTTGTTCTATGTTTTCGTCAACATCAAGCGATCCCCGAGGCGACTCCTCTCTCATTTGTAGTTGTAAAGTCATAAAGAGTGGAGACTTTGAAGCTGATCGTATACTCTCTTCCGTTCGCTCCCATTCACCAGCAGTTTTAAAACAAACTTTGTCTCTTGCTTGCTTCGACGCTTTTCCTTCGGAAATCAGAATTCTGGCGCAAAGAAAGTGTCCGGCTTTCGAAGCACAGATAAGAGGAGTTTCTCCTCGCTTGTTGACTTTATCAACACTCAATTTAAACTTATTTAACGTTTTTATCAATAAATTCAATACCACGAAGTTGCCTGACGAAGCGGCGTAATGTAAAGCAGTGTTTCCTTCGTTGTCTGGCGAATTTAGATCAAATGTATGAGCTTCGTTGATCATTAATCCAACCAGCTGCTCGTGACCAAACTTACAAGCATACGAGAGAGCAGTCATGCCTGTCTTGTCTCTCAAGCTAACTTTCGCTCCATTTTGTAACAAAAGCTTCGCTATTTTAGCAGCTTTTGTCTCCTCTTCGAGAAAACAAACTTCCATTAGTGCTGTTCGCTTGTCAGGAGTTCTGGCGTTCACATCGATTGCCATATCGATAAGTAACTTTGCTTGATAAAATCGTTTGTTTTTGAGAGCTGAACAAAGGGCTGCCATAATTCACTGAAGTTACAGTAAATTGAATAAATCTAGACGAATTTAAAGCAAGGATTCGAAAAGAATATATTACAATAGGCCACGTCTTTATCACATCTTTATGAAACCGAGAAATGAAAGGAAAGAAAAAAGAAATCGCGAAAAGACGCTAAGACTGTAAACAGAGTGTTCAACATTAGCCAATCGTTTTGCGATTCATTGTATTTACCCAACTACTTGTCACTACGTAACTAGGGAAGAACGAAACAGAGTGTAGTCATAACACTGTATAAACAAAACAAAACTGCACCTGTTCAAACACTGTTTTCTTCAAACAAAACCTTAATATTTTTTGAACAAAATTATAGGCAACTGAAGCAAAGTTGGGTTCTTTGTTTCGCATTATTGTGGGTAAATGTATAAGTTTTAATGTCAATCTAACTAAAACGCA